CAAATTGTGAAGTGCTTGCAGTAAATAATGATTACATTTCTCTTGGGTAGTTGGTACATGTGCATAATACCTCATTTTCTTTCCCTCCTGGTCTTCTCCCATCTTTTGTTACCCCATTTACAAAATATTTCTCCCCTTTTTTTCCATTATCTTCTACTTTGGCCTTTATATTTAGGGTTTCTTATATAAGAGAAACCATGCAATACTTAAGTTTATGTGCATGGTTTATTTCACTTAACATTATAGTCTCAAGGTACACTTGATTTTCCTACAAGACTCAAGTTTATCCTTTTTTATGTTAGAATAGTACTCTGCTCTATATAAATACCATACTTCATTCATTCATCTGTTAATGAATATACAGGCCACTTCCAAGATTCAGCTGTTATGAACTTTACTACACAGCCCTTTATTTTACTTTAAACACAGCCCTATACTTTAATTCCCATTTTTAACCAGGAATCGAACTCATGACTTCACACTTGCTAGTCAGGCACTGTATGCTGAGCTATATCTCCAGCCCTTATTTACTTGTTCACACTACAAATGATATTATCTAGGACTCATATTTAATTATATATATATGCTCTGCATTAATAATCTGATTACCAAGTTAAAGTATGAAGCAATGAGATCCTCAGCCTAAATTAGTAGACTTGTTCATATCCTCAATTTCAGAAGGCACCCTGATCAAACTTTCACCTTGCAAGTTACATTTTTCGAACAAACAGTAACATCCTGTACACCAACATTCCAAAGAAACTAGAGCCAGTCCTTTATGAAGGAGAAAAAAAATCTCAGTGAAAATTAAGCAGATACTGTACACCAGTATTCTTATCACTGAAACGCTACTGTTAGGGCAAATCACATGAGGATCTGCAAAAGATATCACCTCTAATTGGTCAAACAACAGGACTGGAGTGAATGAGAATTTTAAGATGAATTGTAAATAAAGGTTCCTAGGTTCCTGTAATAGCACTCAAAGTAGGGCTGGCCAAATTGCTCAGTGGATTAAAGCACCTGCAAGCAGATGCAGGGGCCGAGGATTCAATCCTCAGGACTGTCATGTTGGTCCCCTGGGTACTCTGAGATAGTAAGTAAGACTGGGTGTGGTGGCACATGCCTGTAATCCCAGCTCTTGGGAGGCTGTAAACAGATGGATCACTATGAGTCTGATCTGGTAGTGAGACCCTGAACACCCTGTAGACCCTTCCCTAAAATACAAAAAAAAAAAAAAAAAATTCAATGTAAATGTTTCACACAGACGAGGAAAATCTTAGACCTCATTTATGGGAGTTACCTAGAAAAAAGAGCCTGAGCTACCAACAAATCCAACACTGAGTTATTCACAAAAAGTCTAAAAAAACAAGGAGACCCAATTTTAATAAAAAAAAAAAATTTTTACAAACTGTGCCCAAATCATAGTAGTTATACTTTTTTCCACACACTAACTGAAAAACAGGCAAAAAGGTATGATGAGTACAAACTTAAATTCAGTTTCCTATTATACAAAACTTTTCAACTTAGTTCCTCATCAGACCTCTTAAGAAATTCTATAACTAGAAGACAGAAAAAATTACACATATAGGATCCTAATGTATTATACTGATACAGTGGGATTCCACAACATCCCATTCTGTTTTTAAACACTGCTACCGATAGGGATCACAGGTCATCTGAATACAATTTACCAAGATTTAAATAAAAGACCACAGGCACACGGTTCCCAGCCCCAAGAAAGAAATCAGTTATGTCTTCCTTGTCCTAAAAACGAATCCAATTTACCTATATGACAATGGTTTCCCTGACTCTCCCCCTCAAAGTTAAGAAATCTGGAGGTAAAAAACAGGTCTTCTTTTGTCAGAGAAGCATCCATCATAACACAATCCAGTGTCTGACACATGAAGCAAAGATTATACCACAGGACTAATGTGTTACCACCTCCAACAGCAAACACTTGAAAGAAAACACTCACAGATTCAGGTTCTGGAATCACTTACTCAACAGTGAAGCTTCCCAACTTTTTAAATGTACCTTATATCAGATTAACTGTCTCATGATTACACTGGTTCTGACAGCAAATCAAACATGCCTTGCTTCAAAAGAAAATACCATTAAAAGCAAGCAAGATCAAATTACTTGCCTAGACTCACCAACTTTTCTCTAGATCTACTCATGTAAAATGTAAAAAGCAGGAAGAGTATGTGATCTTTAAGTCTATAAAAACATCAATGTTTTAAAATCTCTTTTTATACATACAGAAAGCGCTGGGAAAGCCCGTTCATCTCTGTTCTGAATCTCATAGAGTAAACGAGATTCTTCTATAGCTTGCTTCTCTCTGCGCTCTTCTGGAGAGAGGCCAAAATAGTGAGTTTCTCGACTCGTGTGATCAAAATCTTCAACTCGCTCACGGTCAGGTTTTCTGCCAAATAAACATTTATGTCAGAAAAAAAAAAGAACAGAAAGGAAGGAAGGAAAGATATACTGAACACCTACAATAATACCTGTTTTGCAATACAATTATTTGTCCAATTTAGCTACACTGTAACATTTCAGAACTTCTGGAAGCCTAGTTAATAAAAGCTCAGCAAGAAAATAGAAACTTCTGTACCATTATGCTACCTTACACAAAAAATGACACTGGGGAAGAAAGTAGAAAATATAAACCACACTTCCAAGTAAATTAAAAGTGCTTATGTTCCTGCCTTGCTATGAAGAAAAGATCTTCATGCCACACTCACAATGCTTGTGTAAGCATTCACTCTCTTAAAAAAAAAGGAAGTTTTTCTACTTTAGATCTCACAAGATTTCTAATGTTCTGTTCTAAGTAAAGGGTAATGGTAAAATAAGACACTGAGTGCATCCTCCTACCCGTGGTTGACAACAGCAAGGCAGATAGTTGAACAAATGTACCAGGCTAGACAGTAGTGTGAGAGAAAACCAATGAAACTGTGGCCAAAGAAGGAGGTTAAACGTATAGAGTTTAGTAGTCTATAAGACAACTCTCATGTTTTTGTATGGTTTATAACTACTGAAAGCTATATAAGTAATATTTCTACCATGTGAAACTAGAGTTTTAACAGCAGGGAATAAAAATTCAAACTTTACAGGAAAAAAATGTTCATCATAGAACAAAGATATAATCTTGCTAAGAAGAGTGGGAGTGACACTGTAACAGAAGCTGATTCTTTTACTTATGAAATTGTCACTGCATATCCTCAGAAGGCTTCATGAACAATCACTCTAATTCCAACCTAGCAATGTCAATTCCAATTATTCTAGGAAAAAAGTATAAATCTGGACCTTCATAACCTTAGACCAGGCTTTCTCAAATCCTGTGGTAAACGACTCCACAGATAACTCAGAGTTATCAGGAGACTGGAAAATTAATACTACCTACCACCGTCTCCTACTATCCAGAAGAATTACTGCTACTCTGTGGTCTTCATCTCAGCCTCATCTACAACACAGAATCAACTTCCTATTTTCACTAAGCTTGAAGAGGGATGTTCAGATGAATGAATGCATACATATAGGACTGCTTTATGTTACATGGGGGGGAGGTATTTTCTCCAGAGGAAAAAATGTTATCAATGAGAAACAGATGAAACAGTAAGATACCATGAAGGGTTGACACCTAGTATTATAGTTCTTTTATAACTAGAATTCAAAATTGATGTGTTCATGAAAAATAAAGTGAAGATGAACATCAATAGGCCAAGTCAATTGGATTATTAGGTATAAAAATCAAACATCACTTAGGGTTTTTTAATACCTGTAATATTAAATAATCAGCATTTTCTAAATTGGTTTTAGCATTTCAGTAAAATTCACCATCATATATAATCACAGAAAAGACATACTAATCTATGACTAACTGTAAATACCACTATGTTTCTACATAATCAGCAACAATATCAAAAGTTCTCCAAAGCTTCATGACTTGACAATTACCTTGACATGCACCCTCAAAGGTTTTTATAAAGGTACTAATATACAGTCAACATATGAAAGAGAATGGGTTCCTAGCAGAAAAGATATGCATCTAAAGCATAGTTATTAAAATTATTTTTAAACATCTGTCTGAGTAGTCTGCCAATTCTTAAGAGTACTCAACACCAGAAACACACGGGATATAAATTCAGTTTGTGATTAATAAAACAATATCTATTAATTATAGCCACTCAGTAACCTATATATGTATTCTTTTTTCTTCCTTTTGTTCTTTTGTAGTACCAGAATTGAATTTAGCGCCTTCACATCGAACTGCACCCCCTAGCGCTTTTTCAATTTTTGTTTTATTTTCAGACAGGGCCTTACTAAGTTGAGACTGAACAGGCCAGGGTGAAATTCATCTTCCTGCCTAAGACTCCCAAAAGCTGAAATTATAGGCATATGCTACCACACACAGTATTTTTTTTTTTTTTTTTCACTTAAGACCTTAAACAGTACTCTGGTGTTTAAAGTAGGAAAATGCTTGTTTATCAAAAAATGACAATTTTAGGGCCCGTCAGATAGAATTTTAGGGCTCGGCAGATTAAAGTACCTGCCTAGGCAGACACGTGGACCTGGGTTCAACCCCCACCATGCCATGCTGGCCCTATCCCCAGGGCACGCTGAGACAGCAACTGAGATGGGCATGGTGGCACGCACCTGTAACCCCAGCGCTTGGGAGGCTGAAAACAGGAGGATCACTACAAGTCCAATCTGTATAGTGAGACCCTGTAGACTTTGTATTAAATAATTTTTTTAAAAAGGAAAAAAATGATAATTTTATTTTAAAAAATTTCATTTCTGCCTATGAATTTTGTATAGTTACTTTATATCTTTAGGTTTCTAAAGTTAATATTCAAAATAAATTTGTTTTTATGGTTTTTTTGCCATACCAGGGATTGAACTGAGGACCCTGTGCTTGCCAGGGAAGTGTTTATTCTAGTGAGCTATCTCCCCACCCCCCACCTTTTTTTGTATTTTAAGGAAGGGTCTACAGGATGTTCAGGGTCTTACTACTAGATTGGACGTCAGCGTTCCACCTTTTTACAGCCTCCCAAGAGCTAGGATTACAGGCACGCACCACCACGCCCAGTCTCAAAATAAACTGACCACTTAAATTATTTTTACCTGTACTAGGTAAGCTGTGAGGTGCTGATGGAGTCTACTCAACGTCCAAACAATAGACTTTGGCCACAAATAGTTGACCATTGACAAGAATTCCATTCATCTGCGAAAGATAACGCACCAGGGCCACAGGTCCACAGCACTTTTTCATTAGGTGTGTCTACAAGGCAAGGCTCTGACCATTGTTTTCCCAGGCTACTCTCAGGGTTTTTTGCAATGGAAAATCTTGAGGGTGAGTTATGTCTTTATTCCAAATTATTTTATTTACCCGTTCTTGTGAGAATTTGTGGAAACCTAAACCAGGCACAAAGGCATTCACTTGTCCTCCCAGGCACTCAGGTTGAGATGGGAGGATCATAAATTTCAGGCCAGCCTGGGCAACTTAATGAGTTATCTCAAAACACAAGTTTAAAAAAGGGCTGAGGATATACCTTACTGGTAGTGCACTTGCCTAGCACACATGCAGTCCTGTGTTCAATCTCAATTCCAGTACCCTTCCATACAAAACAATTTATGAAAACACAGATTATAAATACACATTTTTTACATACTGTTGAATATCCCTGTAAGGATACAGAAGTCTGTTAATACTGGGTGCCACTATACACAGACACTAGATCACAGGGAAAATACAGAATAACCTTTTGGATGCTTTAGGTGGAACAATATAAATAAACTTCCTATCCTAAACACTTCAAATCTTCTAAAATGGATCTGAAGGATCATGGAGTGAATTTACCCAGTAAGACAGGTTCAAATATCTAACTCTTAGTACCTGTGCATGCGACCTTACTTAGAAACAGGGTCTTTTTAGATGTATACAAGTTGACATGCAGTCAACTGGAATAGACTGAGACCTGAAGCCCAGTATAACTAGTATCTTCTAAGAGCTAAGAACAAATGGGCAGAACAACAAGTGATGATGGAAGGAGAGACCAGACTGAAACACCTACAGGCCAAAGAACGCCCAAAAATTCTAAGTAACACCCTACAGTCTTTTTTTTTTTTTTTTTTTTTTTTTTTTTATGTGTGTGTGGCCAGCTCATTTATTTATGTGTGTGTGGCCAGCTCAGCCCACCAGGGGGCGGGGCTGTCTGGCATGTGGTGCTGGGGGATTGAACTGTGGTCCCTGTGTTTTGCTTAGCTTAGCTTGTTCTAAGTAGGTGCTTTAGACCACTGAGCCATCTCACCAGCCCCCTACAGTCTTTTAAGATAAACCTTCGTGATAACTGGAATTCAGAATTCTAACCACAGAACTGGGAGAACTTGTGTTGTTTTAAGGCAACTAGTTTATGGCACAGTCCCAGAAAACTCATTCATTGTTGATGTCAGCCTAAGAACCTACAACTCAGTCTTGAAGTTGTTAAGTACCTTTAAAGACAAAATGCTAGATGTATTCCCATGCCCAAAACCAAAAATGTAAGAACTAAAGAGCAGTGTTTGATAGCACATAAGCTGATGCTATAGCTCCCCAGGCATTTAGATGGGGAAAGCACAGTAACTAGGACAGCTCTAGCACCCACAGCAGACCAGGCCACAGGTCCATAAAGGTGTCCACCAAAGACCCACTCTCCCGAAGAAAGCTCCACTAAGGCCCATTAACTACTCAGGAGAAGTGCAGATTAGGGAAGAACTAAGATCCACTCCTAGAAGTATGAACCTAAAGGTCACTTGTCTCTGAATAGTCAGAATGCTCAATTATTTCATACCTAAAATTCAAAGTTCTATTCAGTACTAAAGACATCACTACACAAAGGCCAAGTTTTAGTAGCTTAGATTCCTACATAAATGGGAGCATCCTCATCCTCCAAGGATTTAGGAAAGCAATTTGGAATCCAGTATGTGCCATGTTATATAAGCGACCACAAAACTTACTAAATACAATACCAAGTAAGAATAAGACTGAGCTAGAACAGAAATTTATAAATCATATGAACATTCAAAACAAGAATACAGAAATTTGTTTCCATAAAATACTTTTTTTAAAAAGAAAATTTTCTTGAGTTTTTTTAAAGATTATAAAGATGTGAAATTTTCACATGGTGTTTTATCAATAATACTTTTAATAATAAAGTATAGACAACTATATAAACAAAATACAACAAATTCTACTTGATTTTTCATTTCCCTGACATTCAGAAAGATTACCTTATGATTTGTGAAGGTGTCCTGCTAATGTTTTTGTGCTCACTGGAAGATTTTTGAGACTGGGACCCTGAAGAATGACTAAAGAATGCATGTTGCCTTACTCCCGTAGGGTGCTGCAGTCGAGGAGGTAGTGCTGATGGGGCTTTTATTGGCTTGCTTGGATTCTTTGGCCCTCTATAATCCGTGTCTGTGGCAAAAACCCAAAAAATAAATAAATAAACAACCTCAACTTTCTGGTTTTGAACAACTCCAAGTAGCCCATCCCTACCCCAAAGAAATGACCAACTGATGAGCTCCTACCAGAATGCAAATTTTGTCCAGAAGTGGAAGGCTTTTTCATCTTCTTTCCAGACACTGTGTTCCAGCTTTCTAGAGGAGGTGGTTTGAGGTTCTTTGATGCATGTCTTTGAGAGAAAAAATTTATAATAACCTAAAATACCCTTAGTAAAAGCACTTAAAACATTTATTGTTGACTAATGTAAAAATTCCCAATTTTAAATTTTAATACTGAAAAACTACAATTTAAGTAATAACATCATTTACCAATCTAGCCTCAATTCTAATCAAATATAAGTCAAAAGCACATTATCTAACTTTAAAAAAAGACCTTAAATATAATGTATGCAAAAAGCAAAAAGAACTGCTATTCTACTAGTTTATTATCAAACTATACTATAGTTAACATAATGAGGTAGACCCTTACTCTGTTTTGACACAAGTAAATATCTGTTGGAAAAATTCTATGCTGGCTAGGTTAGGTTTAAAACATTCCAACTTTGGCTGGGCATGGTGGCACCAGCCTGCAATCCCAGCACTCAGGAGGCTGATGCAGCAGGATCACTGCAAGTTCAAGGCAACTCTGGGCTGCAAAGGCCAGTCTAATACGAAACACTGTCACTAAAACACACTCAAAAAATCCAACTTCATTCCCATTAAAAGACAAGTTTAATTTCAAATATTAGGGGAAATAAATTAGAAAAGACTATTCAATGCTCAAGTTGCTGAAACTTGGGTGTGTAATTGGCTACCTATATACTATCTCCTTACATCTATGTATGTTTAAAATAATCTACGGTAAAGCTTAAGGGCTAATTTACCACTGATTTGTCATGGTAAAGGCAGCAACAACCCAAACAAAAGGTGCTTTAAAATAACATTGCAATACCAAATCAACACTGTTGTACAGCCCTACTTGACAAACTTTTTTCATTTTTTTGGGGGGTGGGGGCAGAACTGGGAACTGAACTCAGGCCTTTGTGCTTGCCAGGGAAACGCTTATTCTACTGAACCATCTCCCCGGTTCCCCTTGACAAACATTTATTGAATACTAACTACATGCAATACAGCACTAAATGAAAGCAGAAATGAATATAATCCCTGCTTTCTAAAACTCCCACTTTGTTACGCAAATTGCCTTTATGAAAAATGACACACTTTAAAGTGTGTCATTTAAAAGAAGTACTCCTTATTTACATCTACCAACACACAAAATACTCAATTTATACTCAAAACTATTTGTTCTGAACATGTGATTAAATATACTTTTTATAAATAGGCAATACCTTCCACTGAATTTACAAATATCCAAGGCCAGCTAGAAATGCTCATAATTACATTAAGCTAAATGGAAAAAGGGGTGAATACTGAAGAGCAGTACATACTTTTTTCCCAGTTCTTCAACCACAACTGGTCCATTTTCAGGGCTAACCCCTTGACTGTCTGTATTAGAAAATTTCCCATTGTGATCCAATCTAGCCTGTCAAACAATGCCAGAAAGAAAAATCAGTAATATGATTTAATGAGCAGTTTTTAAATTTTTACTGTCTTCAATTAAAGAGAAAATAAATGTTTACTGGGAAAAATAATTGTCAACAAAGCACAAAATAAAATCTGTTTCCTTAAACTCCCAGACCTTCATCCTTCTGCCTAAAAGAAACACTTTCGATTATCCTTCCAAATTTTTTCTAAATTATCCTTTTGCTTAATCCAAGGAGAAGTAGCACAATCTATTAAAGAAGCAAACAAGATAAGAGATAATAAGCCTACCCTGGTTCTGAATGCAGGGCTATAGTATCATGCACCTGGGGCTTCTAACCTTGGCTTCTCCACTGACTAGAATATCACCTGAGAAAATTTACTTGCATCCTCATTCACTCCTATGCAAAATGGACCTAATAATAACCTATCTCACAGAATCCCTGGAGATGAAATAAGACAGCCTAACACACACAGATGACATCAACTTGTGCACAAATGAAAGCAAACTATCATAACAATTACTGTCTCCCCTTTGTTATTAAAAATGTGTAACTGTGACCTTTTCTTCCTAAGAACCAATGCATCAACTGTTCTCTAACATACAACTGGAAGTATCCAACTGTTGTAACAGAAAAGCAAGCCTTAAAGTTGCTATAGATAAACTGCACATGTCCAACTGTGCACCCGTCCATCCCTGCGCTAGGCGTACAGTATGTGCAGCACTACTTAAGCAACCTAATTTTACACTCCCAGTAGGTAAGTCCTCAAACTGCTATTTCATTCCTCAGTATCAGAACACTTTCATCTCCTATCTTATAGAGTTTGCAGTAAAGAAAAATTTTTCTAAGCTTTTTCTTTTTGAGATAGTATCTTACCTCAAGTTCTGAGATTACCTGGTTGATCAAAAGTTTAACTACACCATATACACTTAAGTGAACAAGTCATTTGTGTTTTTTAAGATTTCAACTAAATGATACCAAATTAAATAGTTAAAAGTAGAAACAAAATGTCCTAGAAAGGAAAAAAAAAAAATTTTAAAACAAGTATCAGCTTTACGATCTACCATAGCACCTATTTTGCGAAAAGAGATTTCAAACTTAAAGCCCAGCACAAGAAACGCAGCAACCTTTCTCTGTTAAAGCGAGCGGCAAGGGAGGCCTCTGAGCCCTAGAGCAAGCTGGCTCCTTGTTCTTTCAAGTTTTAAGTCCGTACAGTAAAAACCTCAACTCCACTTGCAAGCACATTTTCTGACAATTCTACACAGAAACATCTAAATGAATTACATCATCTTCTTCCTTAAGAAAAAAACACCCCAGGATCAGAATGTGATTAACAGTTCTTCAACTGTTACTGATGCCACAGATATAATCCCAGTTAAGATACTGTACTTTTCAAGCAAAAAATTTCATAAAGTGCACCCCCACATGTGTGCCAATGGCTGTTTTTAAGAAGCTTAAAAAAAATATATATATTTCACTTGGTACAGGGCCTCACAACACAGATCTGACTCACAGTGATTCTCTTGTTTTCAACCTCCCCAGCGGTGGGATTACAGCTGTGCCCCACCACGCCAATTTCGGTATGCCTGAGGTTCCGAGGCCAGAACAGCACGCAGTATCAAGGGATCAAACCTGGATCTATACGCTTACCAGGCAGGCACTTAGACCACTGAGCTATCCCCCTAGCCCCTTAAATAAGCTTTATAATGACACCTTTTGATGAAAAAGCTATTCCAATGAAAAGCAACTACCACAATATTTTTTGTGTATATCAGGCTCTTTTGTCTGTGTTTTTGAAAGAGTATTTTTAATAAACATGAAAAAGGAACCTTGAAACTATGTAGTCCAGAGTTTCTCCAACCTTAGCATTTCTTATCCTCTGAACTAGGTAATACTTGGCTAATGGGAGACTCTCCTATGCAGAGAAGTACATTTGAGGTGTGTTCAAAGAATATAGCGAATGTCTACATTCTAAAAATTGCTTACAAGATTGCCAGGAACAAATGTGTGCTCACCAACCTGAACCACTGGCGGTACATGCATGACAGTACCACAGGGCAACCTGAACCACCCAATGGTACTGTCCCATGACACTGATGGAACAGTCATATATGTACCACTGGTGGATCAAGCTGTCTGGAATGTTAACATGTTCAAATCACAGCCAAACAGCAACAAGACATACAAAGTATAGCCTGTCATGAACATATTAACCCCCCTCAAAATACTGCTCCTTACTTCAAACACACTTATACTCTTGCCACCTGCTGGAAGACAATTCTGGAAGTCCTCTTCATGATGTGACCAAAAAGATGCAGAATGATGCTGTCAAGTGCCATCCAACAGAAAGTCAGGCTTATACAAACATTAAAATGCGTCCCCATCCTCCTATGCACTGCATTTGCACTCTGTGACTTCTGGCTCTCCCCCAAAGTTAAAATCATCATGAAAAGTAAACGTCTGAAATCAGTTCAGGACATCACGGCAGCCACAAAAGAACTAAAGACACAAAAGAATGTCCAGAACCACTTCAGAAATAGCCAAGAGTGATGGAATAAGTGTATTTTAAGTGAGGAAAAGTATTTTTGAGATGTAGCAACAATGTGCCCTTTACTATGAAACTTTTTTTAATTATGACATCATATTCTATCACACCCTGGATGTCTGGTCATTTCTTTGGCCAAATCCACTACATATCAGAAGCAATCTACCAGTTCTGATAATTAAGTGTATCCAAGCACTGTAAAACATATAGCAGTCAGGGACAAAAGCATCCATCTTATAGCTAAGGACATAGCTCAGCAGCATAGCACCTGCCTGGCAAGCATGAGATCTTGAGTGCAATTCCCAATACCAAACCAAACAAACAGAAAAGTATTTTGAGAAACACCAATCTCATCCAACTGTTTCCTATAATAAGCAGCAAGTAGCTCAAGCAAGTACAGTAGCTCACTCAAGATAAAAGAGAAAATTCCTCTTATGGTTCACTCTCCTGCCTCAGCCTATCAGAAGATTATTATATATGTAACCAAAATCTTCCACAAAGACTTTCAGCAATAAAACAAACGGACCTCTAAATTAATTTTTACATCAATTTCAGCAAGTTACTTGCCATAAATTTAGTAAATATACCTAAACATCTAAAATGTTACTGCTACTTCTCAGAAGCAAGTGATCTCAAAGCAAAGCTGTTTTTAAACACTTTAACTTCTAGTATTCAAATGTTATCAAAAAGCTAATGAACAATAAATACATTCTGAAACCCAAATTAACAATACATTCAATTAGGGAAAAAAAGCAAGATTGAAAAGAACCTTTTCTTCCTGTACACAAATCACTTACTTGGCATTTATCTCCAATTTCATATTGTAAATCAGCAGCAATTGAATAATCACGTTTTTGTTGAGCTATCAGAAAAAAAACAGTGCAAAGTTTAATTTTTTGCATATATCATAAAATAAATTTATTGAAAAGCACAGAATTTTTACTCACCTTGCTTAGACTTCAACCAAATTTCATATTCCACATTTCTATAGACTGCTGGGTTGAGTGACTTAAGAACCTTTCTAGACAAGGACAGGCTAGCAGAGTTCCCACTGTTCTGCAGCTGCTGAACAAAGAAAGTCACAAAGTTCAACCAACACAAATTCTTTTACAAGAATTTTTGTCTGAGATGTACACAAAAATAAAATCAAAGGAACACTAACACTTCAAAAAAGGACAGTGTAGCAGGGTGGTACGCACAGCCTTTAAATCCCAAGCTACTCAGGACGCTGAAGCAGGTAGATCACAAATTCCACGACAGCCTGGGTAACTCAGATCCCATCTCAAAAAAATAAGTAAATAAATAAATGGGGGCTGAGGAGATAGCTCAGCAGCGTTAAGTGCCTGCCTGGCAAGCACAAGCACCTTGGTCTGATCCCCAGTACCGCATGCCATTGTCAGCACCAGAATGTACTCCATGCTGGCCCTGAAACTGGGCATGGTGGGTGGCACACACTTGCACTGGGGAGGCTGAGATACGAGGATCACTACAAGTCCACGCTACGTAGTGAGACCCAGTACCAAATAAATAAAAGATTTTTCTAAATAAATGGGTTGAGGATATAGTTCAATAGTAGAGCACTCCTAGGTTCGATGCCAGTACCAGTACAAAAAAGGACATCAAAAATTTACCAAAAATGTGTCAGAAAAAAAAAAGACTACATATTCATATACTTTATTTGTAGGATGATCATGACTTGGCTAAAAGTATCACCCAAAAGACTGTAAATTCATATGCTTTTTTATATTGAAAGTCTAATGGAACCATTAAAAAAAAAATACCTCATCGCCTGACAAAGGTTTAAATCCATTCACATCATTGGCAGTGGTAGTTTTACCCCTATGAAGGAAAAAATATAACCATAATTAGGAGCAGATAAAAATACTTCATACAAGTAATCTCATCTAAAAATCTCAACTGTCTTCCATTAAAGTTACAAATACTTTAGAAAGTATACAAGTTTCAGTGTAACTCTGTGTGTGTGTGTGTGTGTGTGTGTGTGTAAGACAGAAGTCACGTAATCAAGAATACAGAAAAAAAAGTATTATTTGCAGGCTAGGATGATTTAACTTATGACAGACTCAACAGAAAATTTGTTTTTCAATACATAGGTAGCTACCCACTAAAAAGAAACAAAATTCCAATACAAAAGGGGAGATTCATAGTCTACTCTTAATAAAAACACTTCTATTATCATGGGTCTCCAACATTTTGGCTTACTGGGCCACATAAAAAGTAAGTTATATATGTATAGAAGTAACAATTCTTATTTTTTTATTGTAATAGTAAAGAAAAAGAGGAAAAGTGGCCTTTATTTAGACCACAGGTTGGCTCCCCATGCACCATATCAAATAATCTCCAGTAAAACCAAAGAACTATCTAAATTCACTTACCATCCCTACCTGTATTTTAAGTTCATCTACTTGGCAAATATTTAAGTACCTCGGATGTGCCAGAATCTATACATTATGAAGGTGCTGGGGTTCAACAGTGAACAGAACACACAAAAACAAAAAACTCTACCCATATAAAATGTATAATTTAATGACAATAAACACAAACTAAGTTATCAGTATATGATGTCAATGAACGCCACAGGTGAAAAAAGGAGAAGTATACACTATAAGAATAAAAACTAGAAAGAGGAAAGGCCTTACTAAGATGTCTTTTTAAATAAAGAAAGGTAGTGAAACAGCAGACCATGTGCTGAGTGAGTATCCCAGACAGAGGGCACAGCACATGCAAAGAAAGTATTCCAATACAAAGAACAGCACATGCAAAGACCCTAAGGTGGACAACAGGATGAAAGGCTGGGACAGAATGACAGAAGGCTGAGTGGGAACTGACAGGCTCTGTTTGCCCTTACATGCATTTTGTATCCTATAATTCCACCTTAATAAATCACTCTGTAATTTTCAGGACAATCTCCATGTATTCAAACGTAGCCATATTCTAGTCTACACTAAAAAATCATTTATAGGGGCTTCGGGAGCTAGCTCAGTGGAATAAGTGCTTGCCTGGCAAGCACAAAGTCCTGAGTTCAATGCCTAGTACCACCAAAAAAAAAAAAAAAAAAAAAGACAAGAAAAAAATCATTTATAATTTCCAGTACTTCGGGACCCAACAGTTTAACTGTGATAGAATCCAGCAGGCACAAGAAGAAAAGTTTATTATCTATCCTTGGTCCTCGCTCCTTACCACCACTCTATGTCTATATACCCTGATGTGCGTGGCCTCTGTACTTCAGAAACACGTTTTAGAAAATTTAATACAATAGAAAGGTAATCTATATTTCAAGAACTACAACAGCACTGTCTTAAAAATAATGCATGTGTCTTCTTGCATACCTACTCCACCTCCCCAATAAAGTTCTCCAGCTTGCCTTAATTCTATAATCTACCTGCCAATCACCATATCAGAGTTGTTTCTAATACTAACAGCAGCAGAAACCAAAAGGCACAGAAGTCCTTCCCACACTAGGCACAGGTAGGAAGTTTAAACAAACTAGTCACGCTTTCAATTTCTCCTATTTTCAGGAATACAATTTAATCATATAAGTGCCTGGAGAACCATGAAGCAAGAATTTCTATCTGTGCAGAATTTAGTGTATTCTAGGACTAAACTTTACAATAGCAGACAGTGATTCAAATGATAAATGGTGGCCAAATTTTATAAAAAATCAAAAAGAAACTTTTTTATAAACAAATGCCTGAAATTCATGTCATGCCAGACATATATTTTCCCAGTACTTCTGTAATAAACAATTAGATATCCTGAGGTTTAATTTCTAGCGTCAGTTTCACAATATGTAACACATCAAGCAGGCTACTGTCACACTCTCATAGAAAGAGAATACTTTTAGCTTTATAGACAACGTAATGGGATTGGTTTCTCAGAAAAAATAAAATCAACCTCTAAATAGTATTAATATTAGCTAGTTTATGTTGGACATTAAATCCAGGAGCTACACTAATGCACCTTACATGCTACCTCATTTGGTTCGCACACATTCTCTCAAGAGGAAATACTGCAAGAGCCTAACTTCACAGCCACCGAATTGAGGCTCCTTCAGACAACTTAAACTTGCCCCAAGTCTAGTCAGTTGTCAGGAAATCGGGATTAAAACCACCCTGGATGCCGAGTGCCAAAGGCTTTACCCTGTATACAAAAGTCTCAATAACTCCATTGCAAGGTGTTTATTCACAATCTACACAGAGGTATCATCTAGAGCTGTTCACATACACACTTACAACCTCAACGTGGGATTTCATTATCTAAAGAGGAGTTAGTACCTAAGGAAGAAAATTATAAAGTCAAGAAACCAAAACAGCCACTTTCAAATCACTGGATATACAAACAATTGACAGGATAACTTTAAATGTACACATGTACGAAGGTAGGAACAAGTCTTTTCTACAAATATCTATTCAGCTTACAGGGACATAAATTCCAAAGCAACTTTCAAAAGAATAGTTCTTAATACGATTATACGATTTAGGAAAAATTAGTGGCAGTACTCAAAAAATTTCTATGGCAGACTGCTACATTCTATGACTACAGCTTAATATATGAGAAAACACATGTCTCTTTATATGCTACTAGAAAAGTATTTTAGGAATTAAATTTATCCTTACTTGCTACTGTCATCCTCTGAATCTGAGATTTCACTGTTGTTTTCATCAGCTGCTTCAGAGGGGTCTAGTCCCATCATGATTTTACTAACATCAGTTTTAAACACCTTCTCATACAGCAATTCATAAAGGAGAGCTGCAATTAACCAGATTTTCATGAAAAATGACCCCAGGCATTTTTTCAGAAATAACAAATGAAAAATGTTATCTGCTTTGTTAAGGCTTATAAAATCCTAACTAGACATTTGCATTATCTCAGTAACAACATTTAATCAAAAAGTTATGTAGAGGGCAATTATAATTTGTATCTGTGCAAATTAACTAGTTTGAAATAATAAAATACTACCCTGTTTAAAACTATCAGCAAAATGAAAAGGCTATGCAACAACCATGACAAGAAATATGCATACTAAGCAAGTACTACCTTTTTCACACATTGTGCTAAGCTTTATGTATCATCACATTTAATCACGGCACCAGAAGTACTACACTGGTTGTACAACTGAAGAAACTGAGACTGAATGATGTCATACAGCATGCCTACCTACAATTAACAGACATTAATACTGCTGAAGAGAGGAATGTGTAGTACTAGGCACCTGGATGCTAGTCTTAGCTTTCCCACTAAGTGCAACTCTGCACATGACACCTCTCAGATTTGTAATAAAAAAAAGAATGCTCGTGTGACTATATAACCCAGCTCCAGATTTCAATTTCACAGAAAGAACAAAAAAAAAACCAGTTCTCAGGGGCTGGGGAGGTAGCTCAGCAGTATAAGCACTTGCTCAGCAAGCACAAGGACCAAAGTTCAATCCCCAGTAATACATGCTGTGCCAGCCTCCAAATTAGGCATGGTGGAGCACACATGTAATTCCAGCACTGGGGAGGCTGAGACAGAATGATCACTAAGACTGAACTGCATAGTGAGACCCTGTATCCAATAAATTAAAAAAAATAAAAAAAAACTTATCACACAACTTTGTTGCTTCAATCTTTGAAAGTTTTAAAACTCAAACTAAAAAAAAAAAAAACTCTAAAACTGACAAAAAAGGAGTATATTTTACCAAAAATTTAAAAATCACATGGATTTTAGCACTTTCACAAAATTTTATTTACAGTTAGCCTTATGGAAAAAAGTACACTAAAAATTCATGCATGCTATCTAAGCGAATCTCCAGAAAGACTTCCTTCTTAAAAACCTTCTTTTCTCTTTGGGTTAACAAAAGACACACCCCTATTATGGACCACTCTCACAAGTACGAAACAGACAGGCTATGACAGCTATAGATTTCACAAAGCTGAAATGCAGAAACTCTGCCTAGAGGACAAAGGAGACAGCCCAGCACTGACTAGATTCTCATAGCTCAAAAATGGAAGCTTTTCCATTTAACATCCTTTTAAAACTTCCATGGTACACATCTGTCCAGGTAACCACCAACTTAAGAACAGAGGAAAACTGTTACATGCCCAGGACTACTGCTGTGTATGAGAAATCAGAGTAATGATGAAAAGATGAGAAGAATCACTTTTCTTCCAGAGCAGTACCAGTATTCTCAAACAGAGGAGAGAATTTATCCCCACCAGGAAATACATGAGAAAAACCTGAAAATATTTTTGGCTGTCACAATTGGGAAGAGTGTTACTGGTTTTTCAGACAGAGGCCAGGGATATTGTATTACTCTGCATGGTCCAGTGCACAGGGAAGGACCCATGACAGAAAACTGACTCAAAATGGTGATGATGCCAAGGTGACAAAACCATAACCTAGAATCAAATATTTGATTTGTAGTCATTTGGATTTTCCAGCTATACGCTAACAACTTTTTAAATGTACAGAAATCCTTACTATGACTATACACCTTAGGAATATCATTTTTACATAAACACAAAGTAATACTTACACTGACACATAGCAGAGTTATCTTTATACTTTATGGGATAGACAATATCATAATGATTTCCATTGGAAAAACACAGTAACACCTGAAGAGAAAATATAAGACACATTTCAGTCCCTCATGTGTATTCACAAAGCAATTTATGTCTCTAATGTCTCTGAATTACTAGATTACTTTCAAAGTATTTCAGAAGCAACCTAAAGCTCCCATATTATCAAATTATGGTAAAAAGCAACACAATATAGCCATTAAATTACAAAGTTCTTATACTCAATAGAAGCTTACAGAATCACTAAAAGAAAATTCACAATATACGAAAACAAGATGACTTTAAGTATTAAAGAACAAAGTTGAGGTTTGAAGAAGATATTCTAAAATCTTATCACTAATAACCTTTAAGAGACAATCGAGAAAATTTTTTCTGCCTCTACAATTCTAAGTGATTTCTAAAAAGCTAGTATGTACAGAGAAGGAAAAAATGGAAACAAAGTTTTTGTAAACATGGGAGGGAAAGAGGTGTTGAAGGGAAGAGAAGGGAATGGGGGGAAATCATATTATATCATGTGTAAATTCCTTATAATGTGATCATCATATATACCTAAAATGTACCAATAAACTTAAATTCAAAAAAGTATAGTGGCAGAACAGGTTTCAAGGTCTAATAAAAATATGGACAGTAAAACACCAAGGGAAAAGAGGGAAGGAGAGGGAAGCGGAGGGGAGTGGAGGGGAGGGGAGAAAGTTTACACCGATTTTGTTTGGACACAAGGAACTGTAGCTAGAAAAGTCAGATCCAGAATAAAGTCCATTGGAAATACCCAAGTTCTTACAGCAGTAATACTCAATTCCTCCCTATCTGCCACCATAAGCACAGTGATACACAAGTCAACTGGCCTCCATGATCTGCGAACGGCTCATTAAGACAGAATTCTCCTATGAGTCAACTGACTTTTCTCTGGTTTCAAAAAATTTTCCATTGTTTATTTTTATGACCAGATGATGTAATAACATCCTTGCCACTAAAACTATCTTTATAATGGGAAACACAAATGATTACCAAAGTATTTCTGAATGTAAACCAGAGCCTACTTTCAGTTTGTTTTACTATTTAATGTTTGTACTGACACACAACAGTAATATACACTAATGTCTCATTTAGTGTCTCCACTAAAATATTATAAGGTTCAATAGTGATGAGGGAGGTTTGCAAAATAATGTTAACAGTAATTTTATTTTATTTTCATGTATTTAGTACTGTCTACAGGGTCTCACTACACAGATCAGACTCCTAGTGATCCTATTTTGAGCCTCCCAAGCGCTGGGATTACAGGTGCGCACCAGCATGCCCAGTCTCAGTCCACATCTCAGCGCACCCCCGGGGCCGGGCCAGCACAGCATGAACAGTAATTTTAAAAACTCAGATCATCATAACCTCTACACAAAGATTTCAAAATGTTTAATATTACACCTCAAAAAAAGTAGTAACTAAGTGGTTTTTACTTAAATCCTTTACAAACACTTAAAAATACTTACCTTTTCAGGAAAATTATTTTCAGTGACATGTGAAGGAGAAACATTTGGTTCCTGATAGATTACAAAATCTTTCCTGAAATAACATTTAGAAATTACTTGTAAAGGATTACACTTCATGAACTTAAATTTAACTAATTCATTCATCAATTCTTATTTGTCCAATATGAGCCAGATAACATTATAGGCACTGGAAATATAACAGTAAAAGAAAGTAATAAGGTATAAAACACCTATGTAAAAGGGTCTTTTCTAAAATAATATTTGAACTGATGGGCAATAATAGTAAACTGAGTAATATGCTGCCTTAATTATGTTCTAGTTATTGTTCAATGCTACTGGCCCTAAAAAAGTAGCGATTTCTCTTTAAGATTGGTAAGTAATAATTTATAGGACAAGGATTAGAAAATTTCCCGCACTCTTTAACAGAAACTTCTTTGAGGGGGCTGGGGAGATGGCTCAGTAGAATAAACACTTGCCTGGCAAGCGCAAGGGTCTGAGTTCAATTCCCAGTTCCGCCAAAAAAAAGAAAAAAAGAAACTTCTTTGAAAATTAAAATTTCTAACATGACATCTAAACACTAATACTGACAAAAACCTAGACTGGGCATAGTGGCACACACCTGTAATCCCAGCACTTGGGAGGCTGCAAACAGGAGGATCACAAGAGCCCAATCTGTGTTGTGAGACCCTGTAGACCCTCTACTAAATAAAAAAAAAAAAAAAAAAAAACTAGTTCCTAAAAAAGCCTTAGAAAAAGTTTCATATCCAAAAATTAACTTTGCTCTTTAACATTTGTGACAGGATGTTAATTTTCCAGTGACTTTATTTTTCTTTACTTTTGCTATTACAGTGCTTACCTGTACATAAGAGAAAGGGCACTTATTTCCACTTGTCCTACCCATTCCTGTATTAAAGGAAAACAAAATTGGCACTTAAGTGTCTCATACATTTTAGAATATACTTAATTCCTTATGCATACTTTTACACGATATACTTACTATATCTAATGAACTTATAAAATCAGCATTCTTAGTATTATAAAAACATGTATATAAAATAATTTATGAGATATACTAAAAAAAAAAGTGCAAATCTGATGCAAAACCCTTTAGTAACAGAAGTAAGATGTAATGATAGCTCCTTATGGCTTGGCAAGACCACCGAGTGCCATCCGTAAGTTGAGAATTTGTTGAAGGCAAAGGCTATCCTCCAACCTAGTACCCAGGACAGAGAGCCTGGCACACACTATAAACCCAGAAAATTAAATGCTGAACAGAAGAAAAAAAAAATCAGAAAACATAAAAAAGGGTAGGTGTCTTATCTTCATGGTTTATGAAGATACAACACTGTCCTAGCAATCATTTTAAAATAATAGAAATCCTACACTTAAGAAATCCTTTCAGGCCTTTCTGGAAGACAAATGGCCTGTACGTGTTAAAATTCTAAGTGCCTATATATTTGTTGGTGATGGCAGTGGTACTGGGGAATGAATCCAGGGGAATTTTACTAGCAAACTACATCCCCAGCCCATTTTGTTTCTGAAACAGACTCTTGGCTAAGATGCCAGACTGGCCTGGAACCTCCTGCCTCTACCTCCCCAGTAGATGGAAGGACAGATGTACACTACTAAGTGCTCCGTCTTTGACTTAGCAACTCAATTAACATAACTACCACTAAGGAACTAGGGATCTCTTGTATGCCATAGAAGTACATATAAACACAAATATCATTATAAACTATTTGTATTTTTTTAAATTCTTTAAAAATTCATGTGTGCTATAGAAAATCATACACTCGATGGAAAGAATGAGATATGGTAACACACACCTATAGTCCCAACTACTCCAGCGGTTAAGGCAGGAGGATTACAAATTTAAGGTCAGACTGGGCAACCCTGTCTCAAAATAATAAAGGCTAAGAATAAAGCTCAATACAAGGGAATCTGCCTACAGTAAGAGATCCTGGTTCAATGCCCAATATATACATACACACACACACACACACACACACACACACACACGCACGCACACCCTCTCACAGTGGGCAGTAGAATTTATAAAAAGGTGGAACAATTTGAATTCTGAAATATTACTGATAAGAAAGTAAAAATGGTACAGCCATTTTGGGAAACAGTTTGGCAGTTTCTCAAAATTAAACATGTATTTACCACATGAACCAGCAATTCTCCTCTTAGGCATTAATCCAAGAGACAAGAAAACATATGTCCACACAAAGATGTATGAGCAAATACAGACAGGAGCTTCAACTTCAACAACTACAAACTGAAAAGAACCAATGAAGAGACAAAACTATGGGACTTCTATTTAATGAAAAACTCCTCTGCAGTAAAAAAGAAAAAACTACTAGTAAAAACAATGATGGATGAATAGTATGGTGTTCCCATTATGCGCTAAGTACAAGAAGCAAAATACATAATACCACCCATTACACATTCTCTCATATGCACCTAAAAAGCCAAAACTTGGAAAGCAAAGGAGTGACTGCCAGAAAGCAGGGAGTGAAGGAAAGAGATTGAGGGGGAGATAGCTCAGTAGAATAAGCACCTGCCTGGCAAGTGCAGGGTCCTGAGTTCAATCCCATGTAACAAAGAAAAAAAAAAAAAGAGAGTGAGATCAAGTACAAAAGGTATGAGGGTACTTCCTAGAGTGATGGGATGGCCTAGATTTGCAGTGGTGGTTACACAAGTGTATACATTTGTAAAATCTTATCAAATTATATGTTTAAAATTAGTGAGTTACGGGGGCTGGGGAGATGGCTCAGTAAAATAAGTGGTTCCCTGGCAAGCACAAGGGCCTGAGTTCCTTCCCCGGTTCTGCCAAAAAAAAAAAAATTAGTGAGTTTTGCTGTAAGCAAATAAACTAATTGTGAATAGTGTTAAAGCCATATGGAGTTTTGCACAACTGAATACCAATTATATTTTAATAAAGCTGACAAAAATATTTTTGAAGAAATTTCATACACTTTTAAAAATGTTCCACTGGCATTTTTAAAAGTATCAATAAGCTTTCTCTGAGGATAAAAAATGAAGAAACAGAGTTGACCAACTATTACTTGTTTTCATTGTATGTGTCCTGTATACAGAAGAGGGGGGAAAAAAACCCAAAGATTTACAAATATGTGCTGCCAGTAGTAAGAAAACTCTTTAGAAGGTACCTATGCCATAGACAAGAGATTTAATCAGGTAAGGGAACAGCTATTCTAGGAGACCTATTTTTTCATAAAGAAATTTGGCCAGAGTCTATCCCAGGTGCTCAGAGCGCCTTCCTTTTCAATCATTCCACAAATCAAATCAGTCTCAGTTTGGTTCATGCTGCCTCTTTTTCTTCCTCTCTCCCCTCCAATACCATCATGTTTTATCCCACCTGAACTCTTCATGGCCCAAGAGACCAAAATGCTACACAAAGACTATTAGGAAACAGCACTTTGCTCCCCCTCTATACCCCCAGTACTAGGTCTGAGCCCAGGGCCTTCACACTGAGCTATAGTCCCAGCCTTTATTTAGAGACAGTGTCTCACTAATTTGCTAAAGTCATCCAGGATAGGCTGAAAACCACCATTCTCCTGACTCATCTTTCCAGAGTGCAAGAATTACAGGTGTGCACCACCATATTTTCTGATTCCCAAACTAGGAAATGGCCTTTGTCACATTTCCTATATTTTCTAAAAAAGAAGTAAAGTTCATCTATAATATTTGCTACCTGTAGATGAACTATTAACATTCTGGTGTTCATCTTCATGCATCACAAATAACACAATATGGATTTAACAGTCAACAACTTTAAAGCTTTTCTATGGGAACTCTGAATCAATAAAACTATACAAGCTCCATGAGAGAACTCTGCCTTCTCAAAGTCCCACACCACATCCTGAAAATCATCACCAGTGTTATTTCAGAATTTTGTATGCTAGTCACATGCCACTATGACAGAAAAACAGCCTGACTCTGTCCTTAATGAGGCAACCTCTTCTATACCACTCCAACTGTCTACTAACTAAATACTATACAATGTGTATAAACACTTGTAAAAAAGTTTACAAGAAAATAAGGCACACTGTCACTGAAACTCTATACATTGTACTATTAAACTTCTATTTTAATGAATTTTAAGTACCTTTAGATATATAAAAAAAATTTAATGACTGCCACATACCTGTGGGTTTTCCAAACGTTTTAAATATTCTTCAAATGAACCTTCTATAAACTGCCAAAAAAAAAAGTCTATTAGGAATGTCATCTATCAAATACAACAGTTAACTGTTCTACTGTATAATGTTCACTTTGACATCAGAGTTCTTAAGCAAAACTAGGCTTCATAATAATAAAATATATCATCTATGACAGCACACCCAATTATTGAACACCATAAGCATAAAAAAGAATTTAAAGAAGGAAACATGGTCAGGAAACATTTCAGAGAAAAGGAATGACTCAAGATGAAGGTTAGCTGAAATCTAGATGGGCAGAGGAAGTGGACAACATACAACACAGGGAACAAGATGTGAGGAAGAAGAACAACATGTCACCAACACAAAAGCAAGTAGGCCAGCCAGTGGGACAACTTCGCTAGAGAGCTGAGTGAGAGAGGAGGCCAATCAAAAGCTGCTTACAGGAGGACTCAATCCCAGGCAGGACTTTCAGACTACACAGGAAAGACAATTTAAGGTCACTGTAGATGACACTGCACTGAGAAACTACAAGATGAAAACAGTACTTTTAAGATCAAATTGGGAGTGGCTTGTGTACAGAACAGAGTAAAACAGATAAAACGCTAAGGAAAATGTAAAGTTATACAACACAGAAGTAATAACAAGAAAGATGAGAACTAACAATGTTTAAGATATTTTCAAGCATAAGCAAGATTTTTAAAACACAGCTTACTTTATTGTTGTTTTACTATGAGTTTATTCCAGCTATGATTACCAAATCTTTTATTTTTTTCCTAGCAATTGAACTAATTTGAGAAAGTTTATTTTATTTTTATTCATTTATTTTTTTGTCTTTTTGAGACAGGGTCTCACTATGCAGTTCTGGCTGGCCTTGAGCTCACTTTGCAGCCCAAGCCGGTCTTGAACTCATAATGATCCTCCCACCTCAGCCTCCCGAGTGCTGGGATAACAGGCATGTGCCACCACACCCGGCTAACTACCACCTTTTATAACTGGCAGAGCTCTAAATGCAACCTAACACAAATGTGCAACCAACCTAAGCCTCTTTCAAGTACAAAACATCCAATAAAGGCCCTGTGGCTGAACAGTATCAGTAACAAGACAACTCCTGGCCTGAGTTCAATCCCCGGTTCTGAAAAAAAAAAAAAGACAGAACCCTTCCCACAACACCCTCTTCCAATTCTAGCTAACAGGTTCTTATTATAATGAATATGAAACTTACCCCTTTGGAACTGTCAACCTCTGATCACACCTCTTAAGATTATATGGACTAAATATATGCAAAGCACTTGAAGTATGCTAGCAAGAGTTCAATATGTTCAACCAATATTAACAATGACCGGGGCCGGGGAGTTAGCTCAGTAGAGTAAGTGCTTGCCTGGCAAGCACAAGGGCCTGAGTTCAATCCCCAGTTTCAGGGAAAATAAAAAACAAAAAAACAATGACCATTACCATCAACACAGCTCTGGGGTGAATAATACTTAATTTACCTCTAATTTCTTCAAATATTTATAGACTATCCTCCTCTCTTCACCCTAGCCATCTACATTACCATTTTCTTTGCTGCTAGTTTTTTTAACAAGGCAAAATTTCAAAGTACAGGTCAATTTTCTTTCTAAAATACCTTATTGCTCAACCTAAACCACAGCACATAAAATTTGTTTGACTGTAAAGGACAGCAACCCAAAAGCACACTCAAACCAAGAACTCATTACCTGTTATATCTCAAAATGTAATTATTTGCAAAAGGCCAATGTTCTTTACTAGTCACTAGGAGAGGGAGTGACATTCCTTTTAAAATCATCAAGTTACAGTCATAAACCAAAACTAATAAATAAGGCTTTGAATTAAAAAAGTCACTGTTGCATCTTATTTCAGTCAATTACAGTCTACTGATTAGTAAGTTGTTACAAAATGTTTTGTTAACTAATAATCATGATTCACATGATTAGCATTCTAATACATGATTTCCCAACAAACTCTGAAAATTAAAAATCTGTAAGTGCTTCTAATAAAATTAAGGCGTTCATATTACTTATGCTCAGGATATTCATTTATGCTCCAAATGTGAAATTTTTTTAACTCATAAGAAATCAACAATACTATTAATTTTAGTATTCAATTCTCTAAGAAAGTTTACAGTGTGTAAAGATCCTGGTCCAGATCGTCCTTGCACTCCCCAAAATTCAGTATTATTGCAGCAGAACTTTCAAAAGTGTCTGAATGAGCAACATAAAATAACCTATAAAATACTGCAACTGATAACAAATGCATTTAAGTTCAATAAACGAGTTCTTTTTGACAACCTGTAAAATTTCCATGAGAACAGATTTATGAAAGCCAAAAATGTAAATTCAAATCAAGACACCATCACTTCTTTAAAATTACAAATTACCTCTTCAAATTTCTCTCTGTTCTCTCGGAGATAGTGAATGCAGGCCATTCTAACTTCAACATGGCGAGACTGAGAATGCAATACCTACGAAGAAAAAGCAACTATTAAGCATTTCGTTCAAAGTACAACCTCATGCCTTCTGACACTCAAAGTAACGTGTCAACCAATAAACAGCAATCTCTTTCCATTTCCCTTTTTATAATTTCAAGATTTTTACTCAAGAATCTTACCTCCTCTGAGCACAACAGCATGACATACAGAAACAGCAATATACTTTTAAGTCAGAAGTTATTCTTTAAATATTATAGTAACATTTCTCCTTTAGGTCACTAACATCACTCCTTTGGGAACATCCTTATAAACTTAAAGACACTTGTTTCTCTTGTCTGCTCTCTACAATAACTTTGTTTTTCACAAGGCAGAACTAACAAAATCCCTGCTGTTCAGTACTCAGCCTCCATCCTACGCTTGTTAGAAAATGAAACAAATAGAGATGGAGTAATCCTCTTTGGGACCTTAAGCCTGTAATAGATGAGATTTCCCTCCAATAATTCTGAAAATGTGTAGTGAGTCTAGGTAGAAATTTAAGTTCATCATGTTTTTTTTCAGAAAAAGAGATTAGCTTACAAAACTTTCAAGTATTCTTTGAGAACAGCCTAGTATGCAGCCTGAAAGCTTATGTGCTATTATCCCAAGAGGTTTGGGACTTGTTCTTATACCTCAAATCATAGAACACCAACCTAAAAAACATGGTCTATAGCCTCTCATTCTGTGGCCTCCATTTTCTTCTGTTAAAAAACCAGCTCAACAAGCTGATAACTTCTACTGTTGTTCTGTCTCTTAATGAATTAAGCTCTGAATTGAAACAAATACTCCTCACCAATACTTAGAAACCCACTGGCTAGCCCTTGATACTTAACTATGTTTAAAATAGGTTAAAATGCTTTTCTATTACTAGGTATCTCAAATTAAGATATTCAGATTAAACACACATACTTGTACATACATACACACATGCACACACCCTCTGAAATAACACATCTCAAAGTACTATCAGGGTCTTTGAAGAAAGTATGCTGCAGATATAGCTCAGTAGCATAAGCACCTGCCTAGCAAGCATAAGGTCCTAAGTTCTATGCCCAGTACCAAAACAAAAAACAAAAAAACAAAAAACAAAAAACACCTGCTTAGGCAGAGCACAACGGGCAGTTTCCATCCCCGTCGTCGTGTGGCCCTGCCACCAGGGTGCCCTGAGATAGGGACTGAGACTGGGCGTGGTAGTGGTGTACACCTGTAATGCCAGCACTTAGGAGGCTGAAAATAAGAGCATCACTAGGAATTCATCTATGTAGTGAGACCCTGTGGGCCCCATAGAGCCTGTCCTAAATACAGAAAAAGTAAAGAATTTATATTAACAGGAGTTAAGCTGAAATTTACAGTTCTAAGGTAGGCCGGGTGGCACATACTGGAAGACAGAAGTAGAAAGACCACACATTCGAGCCCAGCCTATGAATTGTAAAGGTCTGGCTCAGAGCAAAGGCCCTGGTTTCAATCCCCAATACTAGAAAAGTAAATAAACAAATTACAACTCCAGCCATGCATGGTGGTGCACACCCATGGAGGCTGATGCAAGAGAATCTCCAGTTCAAATCTAACCTGAGCTTCACTGCTAGTTCAAAGCTAACCTGGACTACACAGCAAGGCCCTATCACTAATGAAGTAGGAGGAGAGTCTCCCTCATTTTGGGGTAAGCAGAGAATTCCGCAAAGTCTAGGTTCCGGCTGCCCATTTTACAGTTTTCTTGACTAACAGGCAAGTTCACTTATACCCACAGAACCCCACACACCACTGCCTGCACAACCAGCCTGTCCTACTACATACACCAAGGTACACTGAAGATGTAGTAGCTGGCTTCTGCAACTGAGTTTGTGTACAGCATAACAGCTGGCTCTCAGCTTAACTGGCTGAACCTTCATTGTTGTCTTGGGTAATACTAGTTTCCAATACAAGAAGAAAATCCGTATCTTCTTAAAAAACAACCACAGAAAAAAAATTTGCCGGGTCAACAAATGACATTTAACAGCACTTCTTTCACAGGAACTGAATCAAGGCATTATTAACGTGAGTAAGCCACCGAGTCATCTGATAGGGCCTTCCTGCCATTACCAAAGTGAAGCTAATGCTAAAGCCATTTACCTAGCAACAGGTGGCAGACATAAGCTAGTAAAGCTCATTTCCTACAAAAGAACAATGGAAGGAATAGCTAAAAGCTTTTCTCCACTTTTAACAAAGATGTCACCACACAGAATCAACCAATCTGAACCTGTTGCTCAGCAGAAAACTTCTCAGTAACTTCCACTACAAGGTACTGATAATTTATATAAAGTCAACACTGCAAGGGAAGCAAAGTCAAATGACAACTATTTTAAAAAGTTTACTGTGCAAGCTTGAGGACATCAGAATTGAAATAGGTTGAATCTATTTTTGTAAATTATTACATAAATGAAAATAAGCTCAAGGTAGGAAAGCTTTCCCATCATTACTTGCAACAAGATAGTGACAAACACAGGGAAAGGCTGAGCCGCACTGTTTTAGCAAGTCCTCTAAGAGTGGCCTATTTTTAGCTTGGTGACTAGGAGCAGATTCAGGTCAGGCCTCCTGCAGGTCCAAATCCACTAACATAAAAGAGGGACTCTCTAAATCAGGTAACTTGGCGGGAAAGACTACTCCTACTTGAAATCTCTTCCCTCTCTTTAAACCATTTAGAGGACTCCTTGGAAAAGCCGTTAATGAAAATTTTGTAAGAGAAATTGTTCACCTGCCCTCTAAAAAAAATCTTTTGTACAGATTTTAAAAAGGCAGCCTAAGCCAAAGGATGGTGTTATTTCACCCCAATCACTTTGCCTTTGGCCATAATGTCTATTTAATACTTGAGCTCTCCCAAGGTTCAGTCTCTGAGCTGAGCATTATGTATTCAGTCACACAAGTTGGAGAAGGAAGTCCCTCATGCCTGAAGTAAACCCCAATACAACTTTGTTTGGGGGGGTTCTGATATTAATAAGTTTTTACTGTAACTAGTTCTCACCTCTTAAAACTTAAAATTAGAGCCAGATACTACTACAATATGCAAACAGTTCTACAGAATCAAGTTCACTAAGTACCTATGGCATGTAATACTATGACAAACCCATCTTCCTGCTTCAATGTAAACCTGGATAGCTGACTTGAACTCTCAATATTAACCTCCACGTCCTTCTAAACAAATTCTGTACTAGTATATAAGAAATATGAGCTGATTTCACCCCCACTTCCTCTGCTTCCAGAGGTGATAAGGAGTCCAAGAAGGCTGAGAGGAAACAACAGATGAGGATACAGAAAATTCATTCACCAACAGGACAGAATGTTTACCTAAGAGGTGATAACTGAGTTGGGTGTGTGAACACACAATAAAACATCCTAAATTTCTGGAAATGAGATAGGTCTAAAAATAACTGAGAAAGAAGGGACATTTCAGGGAAGATGTTGCATAGCAATGCCTGTAACAAAATGCAAAGGTTTCTATGGATTAAATCAGTTTCTTGGGTTTTTTTTTTTAAAAAAAAAAAGAAGGAAATACCACAGCAGAAAAAACTTTACAAAGTTAAGTCTACCGACTGATTTTTTTAAAAATGCTAACTTGTCTCTACATGTCGAGTAAAATATTTACTCACAAACAGAAACTTGCAAAGATATTTAGCATTCAAAAGAGGTGAAGGTGGGAGGAACCCTGAGATGGAAAGGCGTAGTTCTTAAGCCAAAGGAAAGCAAACCGTGAAAGATATGAAAACACACCAGAGCAGTAATGTGAAACTTTCATCCAACTATTGTAATAGCTATTCTTCAAATATAGGATGGGTTTTGGTGACTGCACACCTACAATATATAGTGTTATGTAACATAAAATAAGCTGAAAAAAAAAATCAGAAACATCTTTCTAAGCCACTATATTAGGAATGGTTTCCACCACTAAAAACCCAGTAAGGTCTGCCCCTAGACAACCCCCTTCAATACTGCACCTACTGACACAAAAACAGACTATTCTAAAAAGTAAGTTCTTTTTTGTGTACCTCCTTCGTCACCTGAAACATTTAAGTGTGGAATCTACTAAAGGCTGAAAATATTCTCTATCTCTAAGCGGGAGGCTTTCGCAAAAGGCAGTTTGCCCTGCGGCTTCGGGGACATCCGCGAGCCTGACTAGCCCACATTCCAAAGTTCAGCAGCAGCAGAGGCAGCTGCAGGAGGAAAAATGTGTCCCAGGCAGAGTTGGGCGCACCACCTCCTGCAGTAAACACTGCTTCGCCGCCGCGAACGCCGCGCTGCTACAGCGAAGGGAAGGTGAACGCGGAACAAAACTGCGAGCGAGCGGTTCGCCGAGTGCCCCGCAACCCGGCGGCGAGCAGGCCCCACAAGTTGTTCTCCACTTGCGTCCGTCCCGACGTTCCAAGGGGCCGCCGTGACGACAGCCCGGCCCTGCGCGGCCCGGCCCTGGGCGGCCGCGTCCCACCCGCCCGCCGCCCGCCGCCCGCCGCCCATTACCTGCTCCGCCACGGCCCGGAACAGGCACGACCCGTCCTTGGCGACCAGTTTCCGATATAAGCCCAGTCTCCGCAGATAAGCGTCCATGGGTGTCGCGTCCTCGCGGGGCCCCGCGCTGCCCTGCTCCCCGCCGTTGGGGGCGCCGACGACCGCATCCATGTTGCCGGGCGCGCTGCAGGCCGGGCGCGGCGCCGGCTAGCCCCACATGGCCGCGTAGCCGGTGGCTCGACGCCTCGGCCTGGGGCGGGAGGCGGCACGGACTCGGCGGGCGGCGGCGGCCTTAGGCGGCCCGAGGCGGCGGCCCGCGCTCTCCGCGCGCATAGGAGCCCTGCTTAGTGCATGGCTGTCCGCACGCGGCCGCCTCCCGCAGGGACCACGCGCCCCGGTGTCGTGAGGGACTCGAAGCCGCCTCTGAGAGTGCGAAGTCACTTCCCGACGGCCGCGCTGCCCGGCGATGGGACCGGCTCTGGGGTCGCCGCCCCCACAAGTTTCCCGGTCCCGACAGGAAAGCGAAGCCTTAGTGCCCCGCGCACGGCCCACGCCGGGAGCCCAGGAAACCAAAAGAGAAAGCCGCGGCTTTTCGTTTCCCCACCTAGCCCGAGGCGCCGGAGGGGCGGGGAGCTTGGAGTGGGTGGGTGGGGAGCCTGGCGGAGGGTAGCAGCCTCACAGCGCAGAATTTGTTTTCGCTTTCGTCCCACCGCGGCGAGGACGGCGGGAGATGTAGTTTGGCAGCGACAGGAAGTCAGCGTGCGGCGGGCAGGGACGCCCCGGTCGGCTTACGCGGGGGAGGAGCCCGGAAGGCGTACGAACTACAACTCCCGACAGCCACCAGGAGCCGGTGTAGTGCTTCTCAGGCGCCGAGTCAGCGAGCAGGCCGAGGATCTCCGCCCGCCGACGCCGGTGACCTAAGCGCCGCCCGTCCGTCCTGTGCGCCGCAAGGCGCGCGCGTAGAGTTGCTAAGGACACCGCGGCGATCGAGACGCTAGCCCTTTGTATATTTCCAAATGGGGCGCACCTGTCAGCTCCCCTCCCCCCGGCCTACCCGCCGGGCGTTTCCACTGAGGCGGCTTTAACGGCTTAAGAAAAAAATGAAGCTAATTTGCCGAGGCTCCCGAAGGGTACCATGCGGGCGACACACGCTGACCGTAAACCAACCGTAGGCCGCCGCCAATGTCTGTTAGAAATGAGGGGTTTGGCTCATGCACCGCGCCCAGAGGACGCCTGTGCGGAAGACACATTTTCACCCTGCCGCTGCAGCTGCTTATCCACGAAGATATGCCACTGTTGGAAGAAATCAGAAATTTCCTTCCCTTGTCAAAAAAAAAAAAAAAAGTTCAATCCCTCGTTCGGGGGTTGGGGGGGGGGCTCTTGTAATAAAGTGCTGCCCTTGTCATAGGGCTCAAAAAGGCCGAGGTTTCAGGCTCAACTTGCTACCCCCGGAGCAGGGAAATGACAGTCAACTCTCAGCCTTTAGAATAGGGTAATTATCCAACAAGTTCTGGAACACCGGAATTTTAATTTGCTAAAATACTACATCTGGTGTCCTTCTGCAAATACATCATTAATCAGGAAAACTGATCCAGTCTTGAGGCTGTGGTAGAGGAGAGAGAAAAGTAGAGGACTGCCATGGTTTTAGGCGTGGTCAAATTCTTTGCAATGGGTGTAAGGCAGGCCAGATGGTGGGAATCCAACATAAATTACTGAAAACTGTTAAGACACAATGAAAGCAATGTCATATTTTCACTTTCTTTAAAGCATCTAAATTTGATTTCGTGTTTAGATACTCTATCTCCAATTGTACCATCTTTAAAAAACACAGACACCATTGTGACCTAAATGAAAATTTTCTTTGTCTAATAGTAAATTTTTTATATCCTGTAGAAAGGAAACACCTCTGAGGGGAAAAAAAAATAGTGTTAAGGTTAAGCCTGTGGCTATATTATTTTTTTGAATATTTTTGAATTGCATATACTTTTTATGCTTTTTAAAAAATTATGAAATATTGCCACTACTTATAGTTTGCCTTTTAGAGCCACAAAAAAATTCAAACTACGGCTGGAGATATAGTTCAGTGGTAGAGTGTTTGCCTAGCATGTATGAAGTCCTGGTTTAGTATCCACCAGGATACAGTAATAAAGGCAGTAGGTTGTAAACATCAATTTTATAAACAGCAGACTTTCTGATATATCAAAACAAATCCAGGTCTTTCCTAACATTTATTAATATTCCTAAAGTAAATTTCTGCACTTAATCTCATGTGTGTATAAGAAATCTGTGCGTAGTATGCCATGCTAAAAGTAAATTGCTCAGTATCTCAGGGATATAACCTAGTATCACCAGGGTCTTCACATTTCATAGTTCATCAGCCCTGTTTTACAATTGAAATGTTGAAGATTACATTGCATTATTTTTTAGCAAATTATTCAGATAAAAAGCTTAGTCCAACTTTGCACAATGAGGACAATAATTTTCTTAGTAATTAATAGCTTTTCAAGGATATTCATTTAAATGTACTTACATATTTTAAATGAAGTAAAATTACTATCTTTTTAAAGCCCCAGAATCTCTCTGAAACACATAAACTAAATGCATCTTTCATTCTACAACATCTTTAGTCTTCCTCACAAATATTTCATTCACTAACAATAGCATGATCAAATAAAGAATGAATATACATAATGTCCATCACCTTTAGTATTCTAGTGTAGAGCTTAGTATTTAGGGTCTACTTTCAATGTATTTTAAAATAAACTGTTAACTATAAGAACATAAAGTCCTCTACCAAAATTCTCTGAAACTGTTATACAAATATGATTTATCAGAATAAAGGGATAACACCTTTCTGATCTTATAGATACGGTGGCACAATTACTTATCCTACTTTCTGCTGAATGAATAGAGAGCAACCTCGCTGTACAGTAGCTGCTTCGAGTTCCAAAATTAGAAGGATGCACCTGTCATATCTGACCCCAGCCTGCATAAGGAAATCCTTTAGGTATTTTGAGACTTAATCCAAGACAGGCCTCTGTATGTCAACTCCCCAAATATAGCTTGCTGTTCAAGCTTAGAAGATCCTATGTCTTTAAACTGAACCCAAACTTACAGAAACCTACTCGCTTTCAAAGGATCCTGATTTGCTAGCATTGACTTCTGAAACTTTTCAAGAAACCAAACCACAGCAGATTGAAAACAATTGAGATGAGGGAAAGGAGAAAAGAAAAAAAGGAAGGGGAAAAAATCATGTCTGTATATACACAGGATAGCAAAATGACTGTACTACTCTTTTCTATTGATTTTTTTAAAGGTAGCAGTTAATGCTTAAAATTTTTATTTTGGGGGGCCTGGCCCTAGCTCAGTCCTTTAAGTGGCTGCTTCCACAAAGCTGTCAGCCTCAGGTTGCTGGAGTTCGAACCTCACAAGTCTCCCGCTGGCCAAAAGTGCCCTGAAGGCATTCGAGGAACAAAAAAAAAAAAAAAATTTATTTTGGCCAACTTGACATGTTTGTATCTGGTAATCTGAACAACTTTATTGAAGACAACTATGAAATATAACCATTGTTGAATACCTATCTTATTTTTTGAAACTGTGTATTGTTTCTAATATCTATTATTTTTCTATTATCTTTCAAATAAAAATTATAAAAGAAAATGTTCATTCTGAGGGAGCCATCTCTGTCCAGCAAAAGTGAAAAACACCTTAAACAATTCTCTTTCTCATCAAATACAACCTGAAAAGAGTCAATGCTTTGGAGGCCCTAATGAAATTGCTAAAATTACGCTTGTGTAAATGTATTGACCGACTTTGTGTGTCTTGTACCCAGTCAATACCTCAAGTCAGTTGTTTACTCTGACAAATTTGGGGGCTAATTTGATCTCTCTCTCTCTCTCTCTCTCTCTCTCTCTCTCTCTCTCTCTCTCTCACTTTCTTTCCTTTCATTCTTGTTGAGGTTTGATCCTAGGGTCTTACACATGCTCAGTATGCCACTCTATCGCTGAAATACACCTCCAACCCTGGAATTTTTTTTAAAATAGTTTTGTTTCTTAAGATATGAGGCTTGGGGGCTGGCCAAATAACTCAGTGGGTTAAAGCACCTGCAAGCAGGAGCAGGGGCCAGAGTTTCGATCCCGGGACCTGCTGTGCCTGCCCTACCCCTGGGGCATGCGGAGTCAGCAATTGAGACTGGGTGTACAGGCGCACCTATAATCCCAGCTCTTGGTAAGCTGTACACAGGCAGATCACTATGAGTCCGATCTAGCAGTGAGGCCCTGAATACCCTGTAGACCCTTCCCTAAAATACAAAAAAAATAATAATAAAAAATAAAAAATGAGATTGGTAGATTACATGGAGGCTTTTATTTTTTTTTTCTGCAATATAAAGCTAGATATGGTGGTAGGCAGCATCTTAGATGCCCCCGCCCCCGATTCCCATGCACCGGTGTTCACACTGCTGTACAATGGCTTTCACCTTGTGCCACGGTTATTGTGAGTGACCAATGTGGTGGTATATCACTTCTGAAGGTAGGTTACAAGAGATACTTTTTTGTCACTTCTGTTGGAATTATATTTCCTCTCCCCTGGGTCACTCAGTGTGATGCAAGCTTGCTGTTGCAGAGAGGTTTCTCTGGGTAAGGAACTGGAGCCTCCTTCCGCAGATATATGCGTACCTTTTTGGATGAATCCTCCAATCCAGTCAAGCTTTCAGATGACTATAGCCCTGGTCAAAACCTGGACTTATGGGAAAACACCCAGCTAAGCTCTGAAAGGCTTGAGACCTCTAAAACTATGTGAAATTTTTTTTCCCAGTTTTCTTTGGGGTGGTAGAGATCACAACAATGGCTTTGTACGTGTTAGGCAAGTGTGGTGCAACTACTACATCCCCAGACCGCTAAAAAAAAAAAAATGTTATGCTTCTAAGTTTTGGAATAATATGCCACACAGCCATATGTTGGTTGGCCATTGCTAGGTAAACGTAGAATGAATACATTTCAATAATTCATGAAAATAATTGCTATTTTATTAACATTCGTGAATTTACCAGCTGGCTGAGTTTTAAGCAAAAGAAGCTAAGTTATTTTAACCAAAAGTGAAAAGAGCCTGTAAATGAATTCTTGTTTCTATTTGCAAAATCTTTTACAAAATAATAGAGTAATGTAAGAATGCCCAGGCATTACTGCTATGCAATACTTTTATTTTCTATTAAAATTCACTCTAATCCTTCCAAATTATTTCACAGAAAAGGATCTGTTTCAGATCCTATGTAGAAGA